GGCTCTGAGAGAGGAAATGGAGCCAGCATCCAAGGTACTTGGACGGTGCTGGGAATTCTGGCAGAGCCAACCGGATGGCCCACTCTGGAGAAGGAAGGGTCACCAGGCAAAGGTTACCAGAGGACGAAGCTTTCTCTTGTCAAGCAAGACTGCAGCATAGTTAGTTGGGAGCTGTGAGAAGAGCAAATGCATGTGGAGTGTGGAGCGAGCTGGGCTGGAAGCCCTTGCTTCCCGCTGGCCCCCCTCCTCCCCCCCGGCTGGGAAGAAGCTGCTGTGTCTGCAGGTCTGCTGGAGAGGAGTGATGGCCTGGCAGGCTGGGGTGGGTGGGGTCTGGGTGATGAAGTGTTTGTACAGGGAGGCAGCTCCCACAGGACCCGCCTTCTGGCTGCTGGGTGTCTTTCAACATCCTTCAGCACAAAGTGGGGCCCAGAGGCCTCTTACTGCAAAATGTTTCAAGCCTAGGCCTCTCAGTGAGGACTGGGAGAATAGTTTGAGATATTTTTTTCTTTCTTTTCTAAAGGTTAAGTCCTCTTCTCCTTCCCACCTCCCACACCATGTTCCATCCCGATAATCAAGACTTCAGAACATGAAAGTTTACAGAGGTCAGCGATCCTCTCCACTCTGTAGACAGAATGGAGTGACTTATTTCTGTTCCGTCTAGGAGCACCTGACAGCTCAGGTCTAGTCACGAACACAGACACACCTTGGAGACTTCATGGGTTTGGTTCCACTGTGATAAAGTGACTAGTATAACAAAGAAAGTTGCATGAAAATTTTTGGTTTCCCTATGCATAGCAAATCATGTTTCTACTACACCGCAGTCCACTAAGTGTGCAGTAGTATTGTGTCTAAAAAAAACCAACCTACATACCTTTTTAAAAAATACTTTACTGTTAGGCCCTCCCTAGTGGTGCAGCGGGTTAAAGCGCAGCACTGCAAGCTGGCCGCAGCTGCTTCAGTGCAAGTTCGATCCCTGGCCCTGGAGGTGACCACATGGCACAGCTGCCCTCTCCTGACCTGCTCACTGCTCCCCTCAGCAGTGTACTTCATTGATCTGCCTGTTCTGCTCCCCTCTCTGCCTCCTGTGAATCCTCTCACTGCCCCTGCACCTCTGGCCTGTATCCCAGTTCTGTAAGCATAAATAAATAAATCTCAAAAATATATATATTTTACTGGTAAAACATGCCAAGCACCCCCTCCCATGAATTGTCACTTTTTTGCTGCTAGAGGGGCTGGCTTGTATGGAGATGGTTGCTGGTGGAGCAGGGTGTTGCCTGGGGGTTGGGGGTGGCTGTGGTGATTTCTCCAAATAAGACAATCATGAAATTCATCACATCGATGGACTCTTGCACAAAAGATTTCTCAGTAGCGTGTGATGCTGGTTAATAGCACTTTCCCCACACTAGAACTATTTTCAAAATTGGATTCAATATGTTCAAAACCTGCTGTTGCTTTCCCAACCAAGTTGATGCCATAGTCTAAATGCTTTGTTGTCACTTCAGCAGCGTCACAGCCCCTTCACAGAAGCAGAGACCATCTCAAGAATCCAGGTCCTTTGCGCATCCATAGTAAGTGACTCTCACTTGCTCTAGTGTACACACGAGACTGCAGTCATCCAGGAACAGCTCCAGGCTCCATCTAGCTCTCTTGCTATTTCTACCACCTCTGGGGTTACTTCCAAAATAGCAACAATACCGACATCAAAGATCACTGATCACAGCTGGCCATGGCCAGTATAATAGCAATGAAAGAGTGTGAAATATGGTGAGAATTACCGAAACGGGACAGCAACAAGAACTTAGCACATACGGCTGGAAAATTTGCCAGCAGGCTTGGCTGGCGGAGGGTCGCTGCATGTGTTCTCTTTGTAAAAAACAAAACAAAAAAAAGTACAGTATCTGTGGAGTGCAATAAATTGACACATGCCCGAACGGAACTGGTGTCTCTGCGGGCCTCCCTGCCAGCGTTAAGTAATCCCATCAGGCCTCGGAGTTCCCAGAACATCTGTTTAAACACCCCACCAAATGCGGGGTTCTACAGCCTTCCTGACAGGTGGTAGACGCTGTTCTCTGCCTGCCCACCGGGAGGAAGGAAGTTCACCTTCAGTCTGGGCAGGCAGGACTGTCATGCCTGCCTGCTTTACAGAGAGCTGAGACCTGATTCTTGGGGACGCACTGCCCCAGATTTATGAAGCCAAGAGTAATTCACCCCTTTTCCACAGGCATTTCCTTTAAAAACTTAAAGACAACTACAGTTCCCTCTGTCTGTTCCTCATGCTACTTCCCTCTTCTTGGCCCTGTTTGATGTGTTCATCCTGTGACCAAGATTACCAAGGATTCCTTTGGCCAACAACACAATTCTCTACCTCGTCAACAGAAATCACTGGAAGAACTGTCTCCTTGTGTGCCACATTCAATAAGGAGGGCTGAAGGAGGACCGTGGGCCCCCTACTTACTAGTTACATGATGGCTAGTCTGAGCTTCCTCATCCGATCATCTTCCTAAGATGCTGTCAAGGTGAAGTCAGGCGGGTCAGGTCTCAGCACAGGGTATGGTGTTTATTGCCTCAGTGTGGCTGCTGTCATTATTTCATATCTGTGTGCTTTCAACTCACTTCCTGGAGCATCACCTAGTTTGATCTGAGGTCAGAAGCTGTCGGGAAAGTGGGCTGACTCCGCCTGAGAATGTTGGAGCACCTTCTCTGTGTGGTTTCCTTTTCATGTTTTACTGCTGCTGCTCCTCCATTTTATTGGTTTCTATTGGTGAGGAGATTTTCTTCTTCTTCTTCCTTTCACTCTTGACTACTGGGCCCTGGCACGGCTCCATCTGGGGCCATGAGTCTGCTGTAACAGACAGGGCCAGGAAAGCCACACCCTATGCCAAGTTGGCTGTAGGGCCAGCTGTCCACGCCCCAAATGACCCTCTCGACTCCAAAATTACTCCAACATGCCACCTTCAACTGGGCAGAAAGTATGACGCCACCACCTCTTTCTCCAAAATTCCTGTTTCCTGAGATCTCTGAAGACCCCAGCCAGCCTTTCCTACCTTTTCTTGACAGTGTCTTACATTCTCCTTAGATCACGAATGAGAGTGGGTTAATGAATCACAGTAAGCTGCCCACCTTGTTTTAAGTCACGAATTCAGGCAGACAGACCCTTTCCAATTACCAAGTCATGTCTCTGGTACAGGGTAAAAGGGAATAGGATCCAGGGTCAACCTGCCTGGGCTCACATCCCAGTTCCAACATCGTCCTGAGTCTTAGTCTCTCATCTATAAAACAATTACTTATTTGCCTCACAGAGTTGTAATGATTAAATGAGAAAGCACACAGAGGACCCTTAGTTGAGTGGCCAACATTAGCAACGGTCAATCTGTGTTAGCAGTGTTGACTATTGTGATGGTAGTGGTCGTGATGGTGATGGAACTGGGGTTGATGATGACAGTTGTGATGGTAGTGATGGTAGTACTGGTGATGGTAATGGTGGTGGGTGTGGGGCTGGGAGTGATGTTTATGGTGGTCGTAGGGTGATAGCAGTGATGGAACTGGCAGTACCGGTGGCAGAGTTGGTGTTGGTTTTGATAGTGATGGTGGTGATGATGGTGATGGAGGTGTTGGTTGTGATAGCATTGGCAGTGACGGTGGTGGTGGTGATTATGGGGTTGGGTTGATGGTGATGGCTGTAATGGCGATGATGGTGATGGAGGTATTGGTTGTGATAGCATTGGCAGTAATGGTGGTGGTGGTTATAGGGTTGGGTTGATAGTGACGGTGGTGATGATGGTGGTGGAGGTGTTGGTTGTGATGGCATTGGCAGTAATGGTGGTTATGGGGTTGGGTTGGTGGTGATGGTGGTGGTGAGGGTGGCAGTGGTGATGGAGGTGTTGGTTGTGATGGTATTGACAGTGATGGTGGTGGTGGTTATGGGCTTAGGTTGATGGTGATGCTTGTGATGGTGATGGTGGTGGTGGAGGTGTTGGTTGTGATGGTATTGGCAGTGATAGTGGTGGTGTTTATGGGATTGGGTTGATGGTGACAGTGGTGATGGTGGTGGTGAGGGTGGCAGTGGATGCAGTTGAAGGTATTGGTAGCAATAATGGTGGAGGTGGTGTTGGGTGGGGGTGAAGTGATGGTGGAAGTGGTGGTGGTTGTGAAGTTGGTGATGGTGATGTTGTTGATTGTCAGTCTGCTCTTTGAGGAGGCAATTTTTTCTCCTGCAGCAACTAGCATGATTTTTTTTCTCTCAACAGTTCTCACGTATTCCTCTTAATGCCAAAATTTTGAGTTGACACTGTTCCTGCTTTTTCAGAATGTCTGGAGTCATCCTCGAGGGAGAAAACATCACACTCCTCTAGCTCAAAAACACAAACATGTTTCCATTTTCCTTTTCATGATACTCTTCTTAGCACTTGCTCAGCCCTAGTCTTGGTCCATCTGTCCCTACAGAACTCAGTCTACCCCCCTACCCGCCCCCCCCCCCAACTTACCAGCAGGCTACCTGACATTTGAGCATGAACACTGAGCACTTTCAGGGAGAAAACATTTCTATGAATGACTGGTGAGGACCTGAGATGGGAGTCGTGGCTGACTGGTGAGGACCTGAGATGGGAGTCGTGGCTGTGTAGTGACAGGAAGAGCCACCATCCCCGCACTGTCCTTGGAGATGGCCACATGTGTACCTGCTCCCCTTCCCCTCCTCTGCCTCCAGAGCTGCAGAACTGTGGTGGAGCCCACAGCCTCGCTGGAACATGCACATGTGGGAGACTCCCACATTCTGCAGAAGAAACCTCCTACCTGCCCGAGACCCTGGCACAAATGCTAACACTCCACAAATCCAAGGAAATAACAACAGATTCAGAAAGCTCAAACTCAGTCCTCCCTGGAGTGCTTTCTGGAATAAATCTCCAGGTCAACAGACTCCCTCCCTTTATATTTAGAGAGAATTTTACACACTGTGATGCACGTTAGTTTGATTCCCATATATTAATGCATTTGTTTCCCACATAAGTGGGTAGACAGAGCCTCAGGAAGGCCAGGGAACAGTTCTGCCTCCCAGCCTGCCTCTTTCTGAGACCACACACTCCCGCTGGCATCTAGGCACACAGCAGCCTCAGGCTCAGGGCCGGCCTTGCTGGGTGATTCAAGGAGTCATTAAGGATAACAGAGAGCACTGCAGGAAAGGCGCTGTGCCTTCTGGGAGCAAAGCTGACTGCAGTGGAAGGAAGAAAGGAAGGAAGGGCGAGGGAGGGAAACTTTCCGCTGTCTTTCTCCCAGCTCGCCACACTAGGCGGTGCCCCTGGGAGCTGAGCCCTGCTGACTTGGGGTGTTCTGTGCTCACCCCTCAGACGGAGCACCAGTGCTGACTCTGCGGGAGCTGGGGAGACAGCCCCGTCCCCGCCCCCATACCCGCAAAGTGGTGCGGCATAGGGGCTAATGGACTTGCATCGATTCTGCCCACCAGGCCAGCAAGAGGGTCACGTAACATGAGAGCATGCCGGAGCTGGCTCGCCGAGACCCGGGCCCACCCATGTGTGCACACGCAGCAGCTCGCACGCATGCGCAGCTGGCAGCCCGACAAGGGCGTCTGGAACCGCGATGTAGACATCTTATCACCAGACTCATTTGAGTGCAGGGCCTTTCAAGGGACAGCTAGTCCTGAGTGCTCCTCCAGACCCACCCTCGGTGCTAAACACAGAATTTACGAGGGCAGGGTAGATGTACTCCTAGTCAGCATTTTTCCATCTTAGGAGCAGCTAAAGAATCACTTAGAAAGCTCATACTGAATACAGATTTCCAGGTTCCAGTCTTAGAAGTCGAAGGGGAGCCTGGAGGGTTATACTTTTTCTGATGCTGCTCTGAACCAAATACTGTGGCCAGTGATCAAACCCTCAGAGACACCAGCGCAGCCTGCGTGGTTTGCTCCCAAACCTCCCACTCTGTAAGACACGTGTCTCTCGTTTCAGTGGGGTTTGTAAAAACAGACTCTCTTATAGCAAAACACCTGATCAGCTCTGTTGGGAGTGTGGATCTTCTCTCCAGAGGGCAGATAAGATCAGGAGCCCGGCTCCTCTAAAGAAGCCCCATCTTGGTGGCTGGCAAGTGGCTCAGGCAGCATGGTGACAGCAGCCTGCTTTCCTTGCCTCTGTGCTCAAGGGATGCTGGTGAGTCTGGGCTGCCTGCCAACTGGGTCACGCTCTGGAGCCCTCTAGAGCAGGAATCTCCCCTACTTCCCTCCAGGTCTGGGAGTGCTGCTGAGCAGTGCCGGGAAGTCCAGAGAGGATGCTTACAGGGAGTGTGGGTGGGGGTGGGGTGGACAGGAGGGGCAGAGGGGGACACATGTTCGGGGAGCTGAGACTCACGGCTTGGTCCTCGGATCTTGATGGGCTTACTGCTGGTCATGGACTGGGAGCACGTCTGACACACGCATTCCTTCCCGCTGAAAGTCACCTTGTCTCCAATGGGGAAAGGTTTCCTGTAGAGTGTACAGGGAGAAATTCAGTTCCTGCTCTCTGGGGGTGTCTGCTGGTGATGACCACACATGCAATAAAGTCATTTGGAAATGCATACATACCTGCTAGAGCACCAGGTAAGGTCAAGTGCTGTTCACAGGCCAGGCTGGCTAAGCCAGTCCACGACGGCCCCAGGAAGCTGCCTACACGGACCAGTCATGACCCCGCCCTTCATTTCTCATCTGTGGGACCAAGAAGCTAATAACACCTCCCAGACTTAACAACGCCTCCCAGACTTGTTCCCTTTTCCTGGAAGGACTTTTTTTCCATCCCAATTTTCCCTGTACGGGATGAATTCATTCAACTGACACACTTACCCAAATTTCATTTTTTGTTTTTATTTTTGCTTTATTCTATTTTAATCCAGGTCCTGGTTTTGAAGTTATATTGGCTTTATTGAAGGCTTTCCAGGTTTGATCTAAAATACTGCAACAATTCTGAAATTATCTGTCCTCTAAGACTAAGTAGAGCATAACTAGAAATACATCTACTCCTGGTGCCATGGACCAGTCTGTACTGTGGCCACCGGCCCATTCAGAATTTTACTCTTGGTAGGGCAATAATGATAATTGGTATCCAAATTGCTATAGGATTGCATGCAATGTTTAAGGAGATTCCTTGAAGTTCCCCCACATTAGAAGTGTTCGCTTGAACATTTCACAATTTTTGTTTTCCACCTCGTCCTTTTTAAAAAAAAAAAAATCCTTATTTTATTTTATTGGTCCTTTCAAACAATCAGTGTTTGAAGTTTAGTCATTATTTCCATTTTTATTTATTTACCAAACACACATATAGCATCTACTCTGTGCCATAGACTGTTTTAACCAATTTTTGGAAGAGTCTATGACAGGCTGTCATTAACTCAATTTTTGGTAAGGAAACAGGTGCTAGATTATTCTGGATTTGCTGTGTAGCATGATACTTTTTCACGAATGAGTTCCACCAAGAACAGCATTTTAGTGCTATGGGCTTTGCGATACCTCTCACTTTCGCTAAACTCGGGGTAGTTTAGAAGGCCACCTCCTCTTTTCACCCCTGGGTTGGTGAGAGACACAGATCTTGTGTCTGGGTCTCAAGCTCCCCAAGTCCTGCCTCCCCAACTAATAAACCCCAAAGAGTCCCCAGCACCGCCCCTCTCATCACGCAGCTGCTCCAGCGCCTACATCTGTGCTCCCGCCCTGGGAGAACCTGGGGGGAGGTGCAGGGTCAGGAGGGAAGTGAGTTCTCACCTCAGCCAGCCACCTACTTGTAGTGGCAGGGTGTGGCATGACCTGTGGGAGGCACCTCATCTCCATGGACTTGGCAAAAACTTCAGTTTATATCCTACAGACCCTGACTGTGTTTAGCGCCAGTGGCTCTGGGATTCCAGGACCCAAGATCCAGGTTTCCAGGCTGGATGAAGGAATTAATTCCACTCTATTTTCTTATACACCAAGTCATACCTCAAGCAGAAGTACTTGTTGGTCAGTTATTCTAACTGGTAACTAACAGGATCTAACTAGTAACTAACAGGGGGCTATTTTAGGGAGAGAATAATGAATGTAATGAATGTATACCTTCTTTTCACAACTAAAACACATATATGTGTATATGTATATTGCAATCATGCTTTACTTATAACAGAAGCAACCCATTGAATTTTAATGTATCTGTGGGCAGAGATGAGGTTTTCTTGATCTTTTTCAAGCTCCTTAATGTGGTGCTTGGCACAGAGTGGACCCTTAATATCCATTTACTAAGTTAACAAATGACAGGGATGTGGATGGAGGGTGGGGGGAATGGGGTGGGCTTCTCTAGGGATCTCCTGAGAGGCTAGATGATTATCATTATGACAACAAAATAAATAAATAAAAGCAGACACATCATGTACCATTCATGGAGCTAATGTCTTTGCCTGCATCATCTCCTCCATCTTCATGAAAACTCAATGAGCTTGGCAGGCTCTGATGCCCATCTTGTCAATGAAGCACCCTAGGCTCCCTGCAATGGGGCCACTTGCTGGGCTCCTGGAGGAAATTGGTAAACAGTATCTCTGTGCCTCATGTGGCAGAGGGTGGGGAAGCCTGCACTAGATCACTGCTCTCCAAACGGCATTCTCGGGGTTCCTTAGGGGACTCTGAAGTGAAATGGGAAGCTGAGTATAAGAGTGCCCTTCCCCTCTTCCTTCATCAAGGGCAAACTAGTGTTCTACGCTAGACTGTATTTGCCATAAAGATTCAGCTGCTAAAAGGTTTGAACACCACTGGCCTGACATTCTAGACATCTAAGCATCCAGCATAAAGCCCTGAGAGCCCAAAACTGCTCGGGAAGGGTCACATCCCACTCTCCTGGGGCACAGGAGGCGGTTGTGGCTCTGCTTTCTACCTCTCACCTGCACAAGCTGCACACGAAGCACTTGGGATGGTAGGTGCGGCCCAGGGCAGAGATGACCTCGCCGGTAATGAAGTCCCGGCAGCTGTCGCAGCGGGTGCCATAGAGCTGCTGGTAGTCCTGCGTGCAGATGTACTCCTGGTTCTTGAAGAAGAAGCCTGACTGGGCCAGGCCACAGCCGCACACTTGGGGAAAAGAGGAGAGAAACAGAGCGGGTTGAGTCCCGGGAGGGTGGCATGCATGAGGTCCTCACTGGGAACTCGGCACGAATGGTCAGAGGATGCTGGCACGTTGGCCTTAAGTGCTCCTTAAAGTATGGGCCAAGGACCACTTGCACGAGAATCGCCCGGGGCCTTCTGAAGATGCAGATGCTTGGGCTGAAATCCAGACATCTGCACGCTCCCCAGCTGATTTCAATGCTCCTGACTATGGCCATTGATGTGTGAGCCTCTCAACACAAGGATGAAAAGCTTTAGGCCATGTGGCTTGGGCAACGGACCACAGCTGATGGCCTCATGACTTTGATAAAAGAATCATTCAGTTCAAAATGTCCTCAGTATTTTGTACATAACTGTACAAAGTGAAGAGCAGTGTGGGGGCCATGTGCTCACATCCCAAATGAAACTGGGATGGATGATTTGAAGTTTGTAATCTGTCCTCACCATTCCCATAAAAGGTGGTCTGTTTTCAGATAATAATGATAAAATGCAATCCTGAACTGGAGAGCTTACACTACAGACACAAAGACTGTATATAAGACTGTACAAAATATACCTCAGGGGTGACAGGCCATGGGCTGGTGCAGGCAACAAGAATTATATGTGGGAAGGGAAAGGGAGTATTATCAGTGGGGGTGGAATCATGGGAGATTTCCTGGAGAAGAGGGCGTCTGAGTTGATGTTTGAAGGAACAGAATGTGCTGAAGCACAGTCAGAAGTGCAAGTGATATTTATGTGGAGACAGGACAGAATAGGGGTGGTGTTTTTAGGGAACAGAGAACCTTGATACAGGATAATATCCTCAGGCCAGTTGGAGGAGGGCTTGAGTCCAGCTTAAGAAGCGTAGGGTTGTGGTTTACCAAGAAAGCATGATTGGCATTTCTCCTAGATTTTAAAAACTTTTAAAAACATAAACAAGACAAAAAAATGAACTAAATAAAATTGAAATAAACTTTTATAAGACCAAATTAGTGGTTACTAGCAGGAAGGGGGATAAGGGTTAGTCAACTGTGTACAAAGAAAGGGTCTAGAGCAATCCACTCCTAGGTATCTACCCAAAAGACACAAAAACACTGATTCAAAAAGACAGCTGTACCACCATGTTTATCGCTGCTTTATTTACAATAGGAAAGACATGGAATCAACCCAACTACCCAAAAGTAGATGACTGGATTAAAAAGATGCGGTACATATACACAATGGAATATTATTCAGCAATCAAAAAGGATAAACACATGCCTTTTGCAGCAACATGAATGGAACTGAAGATCATGCTTAGTGAAATAAGCCAGAAAGAAAAGGAAAAAATATCGAATGGTTTCACTCATAGCAGGAGTATAAAGGACCAGGGGGAGGAAAAAATAATAATGAACAACTATATACCAGAGACATTTTACGGTGGTGGAGTAGGGGATGGGATAAAAAACAGCGGGGGGTGGGGGGAGCAGTGAAATGCACTGGATTATAGTGATGGCATATGGGTGATTTGGTGATGGGGAGCCCATGGGGATTACAACTGAGATGGAAAAGGCACAAAATGATGTAAAAATAAACTCTTATATTATTAAAAAATTGTGGAATACAAAAGAGAAAGCGAATGGTCATGGTTGAATTGGACTTACTGGTAGCGAATTTATCATAGTCTACACAAAGACTGATTACAGTACTGCCCCATGGAACATATCACGCTACCATGGAATGTTAGGCCCTCAAAATGTTTTTAGTAAATAAAACTGGTTTTCTTCTAAATAATAAAATTTAAAATGCCTTAATATTATTTCAAAAAACCTTTAATATACACAAAAGTAGAGAGAAGGGATTCCCCATCACCCAGTTCCAAACTGATCAATTCCAGCGACAGCTTTTGAGTAGAGGCAACTATAAGGATTCTACAGACTCCTTTATCAGAGGGTTCTGTAGGGTATTTCATAAAGTCTTTTGGGATATCCTTGCAGGCAATATGAAGAAATGCAGGACAGATAATAGAAAAGCAGGCAGATATAATTACAGGTATTTTAACTGAATCATATGGTCTCCTCATGGAATCATGGGGGATCCCTCTCCCTCAAAGGACTTAGAAATGTGTGAAGTGAGGTTTCCCTCTGAAAGTAAAGTTATGCAATCGACACATTAGGGGCGGAGCAGAAAGAGGCATTTTCTTCCAAGTGATCGAATGGCTCTGAGGCTCAGCAGAAGTGCTGAGTGTGCAAAACCAGCTAAAGTGGGGGTGAGGGGCTGCTCAGCACAGGCAGGCCACCCAGAGCCCTGCTGAGCTCAGCCAGCTCCCCTGGTTCTGAATCTGCGAGCACTAAGCATCTGTCGGCACACAGATTGCCTGTGGGAGAGGAGCAGCTGGTGAAGGCGCCGTGGACTAGCACCAGAGTGACAGCTCCTGTTCAGTCCAGAAAACAGGCGCCATGGCTTTACTAAACACTGGGTTCCCAAGGCCTTGGTTCATGCAAGTCGACTTTTTCAAGGAGGCTCCTTGGTGGGGAGACTAGGAAGACATTTCCCAGGCCTCTAAGTGTGAGTATGTGGTGTAGACCAAGGGCCATCACCCGGGGATGTACAATTTCATCCTTAATAGGGGTGTTGTTTTGCAAAAGCAGCGAGGTTATAAAAAGCAGGGACATCCAGGTGAATGCCAGAGATTTTTCGGCCCCGTGTGTTTACCTTCAGGCCAGAGCAGCCTCAAAGGACCCAGGTGAGCGAGGGGAGGGCCTCTCCAGATGCCAAGGCATTAGGGGAACAGTACAGGACAGCGGGAGACACAGACTTCTGTGACTCATCCACCCAGCTCTGGTTACTACCACCAACTGTTGGGGTAACAATGATCTTGGCCCCTCTTGTCTGTGGCCCCTGTACACTGCAATTAAAATGAAGAAGTTGGACAAGTGATTTGAGCTTTCCTGCAGATACTGACATCCCACGCTTCTAGAAGGAGTATTAACTCCAGTGCTTACCATGCACCTAAACATTAAAAACTCAGCGTGAGTAGAACCAGAGGCCCCTAGAGACCACCCCCGGAGGAGAGGCTGGGCCTATTCCCGGAGGTCATGGTGGAGGTGGGAGGTGCAGAGGGCTGGTGTTTGATTAAAATTCTTCAAGTTAAACAATGCATGGTCTGGAGATGGGGGCGGGGTGGGGGGGGGCACGGGCTGTGCTGAGCTGTGCAGGTGGCAGATCAATTGACTTCACGGCTGTGGAATTAGTTAGGTCACGGCCTCCGACCTCATTGGAAGCAGATTCTGTTTTTTCCCTTCTTTTCTCTCCTTTGTTTCTCCTGCCAGCCCCACCTCCAGAGCCACCTCTCCTAACAGAGCAAACCAGGAGGTGCTGAACAAACTTGGAACAATCAGTTCCCTCATTTCCCCCAAGGAGCTGAAGGAGGAAGTTTTTGGTAGAAAGGATGTCAAGGTTGATAAGAATCTCAGGGGTTCCTGGAATTACAGTGGGGAGCAGGAGGATGGAGGGCTGGACCAGCTCAGTAGGTATATGTACGGCTGAGTGGAGCCCAGCTCTCAAACAACAGGAAAGGCCTGGTGAGTCCCGCAGGATGGAAGTGGCGTGGGCTGTACAAGGGCAGCCACTCTTCGTTTTTTTGAAAAGCAAATCATATGGTTTGACGATGGGCCAGAACACGTCAAGTGAGAAGTGCTTCACGAGAATCCAGAATGAGGGCCCACTGTTCTACCACTTGGGCTCTGTGACTTAAAAAAGATGTCTCACCTCTGAAGTGAACACTGAACACTGAAGTGGCGAAGTGGTAACTGAAGACACAGCCGGATGTGAGAATCCAGGACTCTGTCAGATAATCCTGCTGAAGTTTTTCCAATGAGATTGAGTTTTATGAAACTTCCCAATCAAGAAGTTGGGAATCAGAGGGGTCCCTGACAGCACCCAATTCATTATTTTATATGTTTCAATCACGAAATATATTACACCTATGGAAACTAAGGTGCATACAGACAGGTTAGAGGATAATAAAATACAGCACCAGGTTCTGCCGGGAAGTGTCTGAGGGGGCATCACCAGCACTTGCCCAGTCTGCTCGCACTCCCTGGCAGCGGGCCCTTCCCACAGGTCTTGGAGGATGGCGCCATCACCCCCTGGCTTCTCTATATTATTATCACTGGCGATATACCCACAAGTAAAAATTGCTTTGTTTTCCCTGTTTTTGAATAGGCACTGATGGAATCAGGTGACATTCTTTTGTGCTTGCTTCATTCGGCATTACATCTTGTGAGCTTCACCCATGTTGACGCACGTGACTACTTCATTCATTTCCATTGCTTGTGGTAGTCTCTTTTCTGACGTCACAGTTGATCTATTCCACCGCTGAAAGACATCGAGCTGAGTGTTTCTGGGTTTTGGAAATGCTGCTTTGAATGTTCTTGTATTTTCGAGGCAACGCTTGTTTTCCAAAAACTTTTCCCAATTCACTTTCTTACCAACACTTCCCCTGACCCATGTCGTCATTAAATCCCTGTAACACCTGACTTCTTATACTTCTTATAGAGAGTCATGGAGATTGCACAACAATATCTTATTGTGATTTTAAAAGTTATCTCCCCGATTATTAATAAAATGAGACCCTTAATTCTATGGGCCATTTTTGTATTCACCCATAAGGAGCATGTAACAGTATTTCATTCCTTCCTACTGCTGAATAACATTTCACTATATGGATAGAACCTATTTTCTTTATCCACTTATTGTTTGATGAATATTTAAACTGTTTCCACTTTTTGACTATGGCTAGTAATACTGCTATGAACATTTGTGTAATGTTTTCATGTATTTTCTAAGGAAGCCATTCTGTGGACAAACTTTTTATATTCATTATGGTATATTTTGCAGCACAAAAGTTTTAAATTTTGATAAGGTCCACTTTATCTATTCTTCTTTTGCCATTTGTGCTTTTAGTGCCACATGCAAGAAGACTTTGCTAACTCAAGACATAAGGATCTACTCCTATATTTTCTTCTATGAGTTTTACAGTTTTAGCTCTTACATTTCAGTTTTAGACTTAGGTTCTCACTTTGACTGGATCTAGGCTTTGCTGCCTCTTCTTCACGGTTCATACTCATCAGGGAAAAAGCTCAGTCCCCATGTGTCAGCATAAACCATCCCGGGTAAACCTGGACTGACAAACACCCCAGGATTTCTGCTTTTACTTTGTTTTTCCCCTGTACAGATTTCTTCCTTTCATGTTCATGTACATTATAAGAGTAATAAAAGAAATTCATAGTGATTTGAGAGATTTCAAATGCGAAGATGACTAATCTTTGTAGTTACTCCTGAACATAAAATCCTCCAAGTTGTTTTATCCTGAAGCAAGTTGACATTGACATTAGTCAAAAAAAAAAAATCTATTTTTCCCCCTACATACTCTAGCAACAGAGATTCTACAACCACCTCATGATAGATGGTCAAAGTGGCCAAATTCTTTCCTTCTCTGCATTCACAGCCATGAAATATACACTGCAGACGTTTCCATAGAAGGCACAGTTTATTTCTCCAAGATCCTGAATCTGGGTTGAAACATTGACTTGCTCTGACCAATGGGACATTAAGTCTGACACAAGTTCTTATTGAAGCTTGCTCCCTTGCGGCACTTGGAAGTCTGAGACCATGCAAATGAGCCCATGTCAGTGTGTGGGATGACAAGGAGCCGGATAAAGGCACTCAACTCACCAGCCTGCCAGCCACAGCCAGCTGACCACCAGCTCACCCTACTGAGGCCAGCAGAGAGCAGTGAGGGCAGCCCAGGCTAAAACTGCCAGCCAACACAGAGACCCAGATGCTAAATAGAAGACTGTGTTTTTTTTTTTTTTTTTTTTTAAAGATCTATTTATTTATACAGAACCGGGGTACAGGCCAGAGATGCGGAGGGTGAGAGGATTCACCAGAGACAGAGTGAGGAGCAGAACATGCAGATCGACGAAGTACACTGCTGAGGGGAGCAGCGGGCGGGCCAGGAGAGGTCTGCCACGCCATGTGGTCACCTCCGGGGCAGGCGGGGATCGAACTCATGCGGAAGCGGCTTTAGATTCTCAGTGCTGTGCTTTAACCCTCTGCGCCACAAGGGAGGGCCAGAAGACTGTTTTAAGTCATTATATTTTGGTAACTGATATACTCTCTTAAATCAGTGTGCCATCATAGCTCAGAAGTTCCTTATAACAGTTTTATTGTCTCTTATTTTATATTTGCGTAGAAGAACTAGGGTACAGTCCAGAGACGCAGGGGTGGGGGTGAGAGGATTCACCAGAGACAGAGTGGACAGCAGAATAGGTGGATGGACTGAAATACACTGCTGAAGGGAGCAGCGGGCGAGACAGGAGAGGTCTGCTGTGCCATGTGGGTCAGCTCCTTGGACCAACTCAGAACATTACAGTGGGTCTCCATGGTTATAGCACTGAGACTTAACCACCAGGCCACCAGGGAGGCCCATTTTGTTTGTCTTTACTCTTTGCCCTGTCTGGATTTCTGAGAATGTAAAAATGGTTACTCATGGAGGTACTCTTGCATGAGTGGGGTTTGCCAATTCTCAACAGGAGATTTAAAGTACCTCAGTTATAATAGATCCCATATATATTTTCATAACTTAGGGAATATAAATATGTAATTTTTTGCTCAGTGTAGCATTCAGTTTGATCCTGAGGAAAGAAGTCTGGGATTTTTCTCCATGTCAAGGGAAGTCAGTCACATGTGAGACTGAGTTTGGCAGCAGTTGCTACAACAGAAAAATCGGGGGCTTCAGTTGAACCTTAAATTCAATATACAGCAATGTTGTGAAGTGGCTCCCTGGGAACTCAAGTCTATGTCAGCCATATTAGCAGAACGGAGTACTGGCTATAGTTGCTGGACCTTGAGAAACGTGTCCTGTTCTGGATGTTATGCTGTAATAATGACAGTGACACATCAGGAAGGGGTCAAAGAGGAAGACTCAAGGATGATGCGACAAACTGGAATCACTTCAGCAGAGGCCCAAGTTAAGGCCCCGAGTATGGACATAGGGAAGACAGGTGACAAGCACGTGAGCACAGCGACTGGGAAAAGCACCCTGCGCCCACTTTGCCCATGAGAGCAGAGAAACTGAGAACCAACAGGTGGAAATAATGGGTTTGGGCTGAACTTTGTCTAAACCCACCAGGCCACTGACCTCAGGCAGGTCGCTCTGCGGAGCCAAGGCTGGGGTGAGGAGCTCAGTGAACAGATGTGGAACAGCATTTGTCAGGAACACTGCAGCAGGGACACTACCCTGGGTGGAACAAGGCTGTCCGGGTTCTTTTTGCTGAGCCCCTCTGTTTCTGCTGCCAGGTATCCTTATACTGCGGAATTCTCAGCTCAGCTGGGTCTAGGACTCTCTAAATTAGCTGGGGGTAAGGCATAACAATTTGGGCTAACTCCATACCCACCTTCTTCCAAAGCACAGACCTTACCAAGATCAGGAATACTTCTTCCTGACATTGGGGACAGTCAATAAAACAGGTATCACTGTCACTGTCACAGAATAGGTGTTGGTCTCACAACCATGCCGAATTGTAGCCAAGAAAGCTTGTTCTGTCACTTGTTCTCAACGTGATTTAGAGGCACAAGCAGGAATCCCTTCAGACACGGGTCATGCTTGCAGCACTGCCTTGCCTTGCAGGTGAGCATGACCACTCCAACATCACCAGACTCCCCATCTCCCCCATATCCCAACACTTTGCTCACCCGCCTCTCCGTCTTCACTCTACACTGCTTGGAAGAATTCCATGAGGGAAGTCTCTTTAGGACTCAACCATATTTCAACTGCTGGGGGCTGTTTTGCCTGCATTGTGGTGTGTCCCAGGGATGACATCATATGCAAGAATCTGAGAAGGGAGTCGGGAATTGGCCCTCCTACCTTGGCAGGTGAAGCATCTGATGTGGAAATGGTTATTGTGGACCCGGACCACTTCCCCTTTGCAGGTGTCTCCACACCGGTAGCACTGGATGACATTGGAGCTGCCCCGGGGGTTGTATGGATTCTGCTGATAAGGAACTGTAGAAAGAAACAAAGAGATCACCATACAGAAGGCCCTTCTGCTTGAAAAAGATTGCTATCGATAATCTAACTGGAAGAAAAAGCCAAGAGGGTACCCCCAAGACAACATCAAGCTGAGCTGCCAAGTGAAGGTGTCCTGGAAGGCGAGAGGCATTGGGGTGTCCCACCAGTCTATAAGGAGGCAGACTTAGGGTGAGTGTGACTTTTCCTTTGACTAGGGGTCAAGTTCACAAATGAAGAAGAATAAAACAGGAGGTGGAAAGCTTCAAGACCAGCGATCCAGAAACACCATTTCTTGGGTGACATCTGGATGCAAGTCAGGTCCTAAACTTGTCAAAGGAATTTGGGTCTTGTAACTGACATGTGGGTGGCTGGCCTGCCTCCAACTGGTCTCTTTGATATGTTACATCCCCAGTCTTACAGAGACAAATGCACAGACTCTGGAGAGGAGGAGGTTAAAACTGCCTTTGAACAGCCCTTTCCATAACATCGACAAAATGTCAAATGTGTATAATTGAGGGAGAAAAAAAAAAAGCTGGTGGAAAGTGTGAAGGCGCAGGGGGCCCAGGGTTGGAGTGTGGTGGTCAACATTTGATGATGTTTAAAGGCTCTCTCAGCCTATCTTGCTTTTTGTTCTCTGATTTTTTAGATCTCTTTTGCTTGCAGTATCTTGACCATTTAACTCTGCTCATCTGGCATGTAATAATAGTAGGGACCTACCTGGGATGCACAATCTCTGAATTGAAAGGAATATTAGCAGCTGTCTGGGGCAACCTCATGATGTCTAAGCTATTGCAATAACTTTGCCTTTGAGGGGAACAAACTTCTCTTTTAGGAGGCCTCTAGGGATGCCAGGGAGCGAATCATTCAATTCCTTAATTCTTACTCAAAGTTGAAAGAATAGTTCCAAACTTCTGCTCATATCCTACTAGGAAAAGCTCACTCTTAGCCTGGCTAGAAAAATGACCACGTGACTGAAGGGGAATTAGTGTCTATCTATTGGTCACTACATGCAGGCTTAGTGGACATGCTCACTTATATTCTGAGAAAGCATACTAGTCAACCCACACTTACAGAAACCGCGCATGTCCAAGAACTTAGAGGACATCTAGCTTTGGGGTTCTTGCTTGGCATGGTTGTTCAGTCTCTTCACTGTAATTTGAATCTTATATTCCAGGCACATAAAGAATTGCACACAGTGATTTTCTTGGCAATGAAACACGAATGGAAACTGTGTGAGTCATTTCCAGTTGGAAGCCTTTGGAGCCAGCATGTGACCTGCCATATTGGCTTCCTCAGCAACAGCAATACCCCCAGAGGGTGTGCAGGATGCATCAAGTTGGACCCCTGATTGAGTGAGGAGTCATGGGGCAGAGCTCCCAGCTGGCTCACAATAATAGCTATGATGAAGGAACTTTGCTGTCATTACCTCTAAGATTTTTTGTTAATGCGGCTTATCCTGACTGATACACCGGGGACTTACTACTTCTAATTAAATATATAATTTGGTGTTATGTACATTATCCTATAGTTCTCTCCAGATTCTCAGAGATAATCTCCATAACTGACCCCATCTGCCCTTCTCCCTTTAAAGACAAGGGCCCAAGAAAAAGCCAAGAGAAAGGCATGCTCTGTGGTGTCTCTTCAAGGCACCTGGACCATCAGTGTGCTGACAGGCAGAGCTAGCCCTTAGCGCTGAGGTGTAGCTTCCTCCCACTCTGCCATCTGAGTCTGGAGAATGTCCCTCCCAGACTTTCCTCATGGAGTTCATGCCCCTTAACCACCTCTTTTATTTTTATCTTATCTTAAAGACAAAGTTAAATGAGTTAGTTAATTAAATCATTAACTACCCATCCACTTTTTGTAAAGCACAGTAAATGCTCTACAAACATTCTCTGATTTCATAATATTCATATTCTTCTGATAGCTCAAAGCAAAGGCATCTCTGTGCGCTCCCTGATTCCTCTCCCCCTAATGTTCATGAACATTCCTTTTGGTACTCTTTCTTTCCCCATTTTATTCTTTTTCTGGTTTCTACGATCTGTCCCCCTGGACAATGTTTCAATCTGCTCCCAATTTGTAAGGAAGATACTGCCTCAGTGAGTACTGTGGAGATCTGCTATTGCCAAGGGAAATAAATTTGTGAGTATGAAAAGAAAGTAAAACTGAGGAGTGTGTTCGTCACCATCAATGAGGACAGTTCTTGAAATAAAAAATTCCTCCAAAATCATGACACAAATTTCCATCTACCTTTAGCTCAAGAAACAACTTTGATCATCAATGAGACTTGAACTTCTGGAGAACCAGAATCATGATGTGTTCTTCTGCAGTCACAGCTCTGTCCCTGAACCACCCAGATACAAACTCAGAGCGAGGGGATGGACAGGGAAAGCAGGCTCTGCTCTCTGCAGTTGAGCTGCAGATGGGGCCCCTGGCCCTAACTTGACTGTCTCCCAGGATGTGGGTGATGCTTTGCTTATGCCAGTGTGGCGGGGGGCTCCTCACGTCTGGTGTTTGTAAATAGTTCCCAAAGTAGAGATGTGCATGCTGTTGCTGCCAGTTCTTTCGAATGCTGATGTAAACTGAGATTGTATAAAGGGCAGTGGTATAGCAAGATCCGAGCTTCTAGTTTTGGCAAGACATTTCTTTATCTAGACAGAAGCAACATGAACTTGGGGGCCCGCCACAATGAGACAGGCCATCTCTGTCGGTGCCCTGGAAGCCACCTCATTTCCAGTGAGACTTTGTCTCCTTGATAACGAAACTAGCAACTCATCTATGATGAGCAGGGGGTGTTATATTTCTTCCTTCCGATCTCCAGCCCTCCTGAAACACTCTATTTTAGAGTTGATTTTCTTCTGGTTATTAGTGCCAACTTTTTTTTTTTTAATCTTATAAAGTGTAAGATCATTTGTACTTAAAAAGTATAAATGACATAATTTATAACACACTCAGATGAGCAGATGCTTTTTGAATTCCAAATTGACTTGCACCCGAATTCTTCACGCGAGGTGCAGCCTGTCTGGAGAGCAGGCAGACACTTTAAAGGATAATGGCTCTGCTCACTGGAAATAGTCTGTGAAGCTACCGATTGTAGACATATGGGTCATGTGACCGGTTTCTAAAATGTGTGCAGGGAATCTCTGGCTTCTGGTGAATGCTATTTGGTCAATAAAGGACTCCAAGGAGCGACATATCAGTCACTGTCCATGAGCAGCCCAATCGGACTTTCTGTGATATAGAAATGTTCTCTGTAAGCTGCTCAATATGATAACCAGTAGCCATATGTTCTACTGGGCGCTTGGAAGGTGCTCAGTGTGCCTGAGGTACTGAGTTTTTCATTTTATTGAATCCTAATGAACATGAATTTACAGTTAAATAGCCACATATGGCCAGCGGCCACCATGTTGGACCTGCAGCCTTTGTTTTACAAAACAAAACGGCCACACGTTGAGAATGGAGGGAAAAGGAAGTTATACCCAGTTCAACTGTACTTCTATAAAAATAACATGTCCAAATTCATTCAGGAACATCACTTTGGACTTAAGTTGTTTCTTTGAAAAGAGTTTCAAAGTTGTATTTTAAAAACATTTGCAACCAGAACCAATTACACACACCCATCCTGAATTTGATTTCGAAACAAAAGCTCCCAAGTAGAGAATAAGTGCTGTTTTATTTTTTAATCACAATTTTCCAAGCACTGCGACACTGAACACTCTTAACCTTTCCAAGAATAAAAGTAAAAAAATCAGTTGGCCGTGACTCTCTGGATAGTTTTTAAAGATTGTTGGTCAATATTTTTTGCATTGGGTCTGAAACATTAAACCCTATTTTACACACATACCACGCACACCTTTAGAGTTCCACTGGATGGTTCCACAGCTTAATTCCACAAACTAACTTTGTAACTGGAGCTCTTCCTCAATACCACAGACACAAGTTAAGACTGCTGAGAGAAACAGCAGATTGGCGGGGAGGAGGTGGGCTTCTTGGCGAGTCAAAGGAGTACGCAAGTTACATAGGCAGGAGCCAGCAGGGGGTGCTTCCGCCTGGTTCCCCTCCTGTTATTCTCATCTCCCCCATTTCTCCCTCCTAGATGGAGCTGGGGGTAAGATGGGTTCCAATGCCATCTCTACTGTTCCTTGGTTATATAATCTCAGGCAAACCATCTGACTCCTCTGGCCTCAATCCCCTCCTCTGTCACAGAGGAGACTGAACAAAATGATTTCTTCTTCTTCTTCTTCTTCTTTTTTAATAGTTCCCCTTTATTTTTTTTTAAAGATTTATTTATTTATGCATCTAGAACTGGGGTGCAGGCCAGAGGTGGAGAGGCAGTGAGAGGATTCACCAAAGACAGAGTGGGGAGCAGAATAGGCAGATCGATGAAGCACACTGCAGAGGGGAGCAGCGGGCAAGTCAAGAGTGGTCTGCTGCGCCATGTGGGTCACCTCCCGGGCTGGGGATCGAACTTGCACTAAAGCAGCTGCGGCTCGCTTGCTATGCTGTGCTTTAACCCGTTGCACCACCAAGAAAGGTCCTGAACAAATTTCTAAAACTTCTCCCAATGAAAAAAAAATTTTTTAAATGACCCTGGTTCTATGTCATTTCTGGGCGGTCTGTTCTCTCTTGGCCTTCTGTCTGCTGACTGGTCCCAGACTTAAACTAAACCATGCTGTTTGTTACCAGATTGATTAGTTTCTTCTGAAAAGCAGATCACAGCCTGCCTCCTCTCTCATCACACCACTACCTGAATTACATTCTCCTCACTGATGGGCTGCCTGCACAATTTTCTCTCCTCTCTGGAGGGTCACTTGACCTTGCAGATCAAAATGCCTCCATATTCTAATTAAGTCATCTTTAAGATTGTCTTTAAAAGGCAGAGGCACCTATGCTATCCTGGGTATAATTAAGAGAGTGACAAAAGTGAGTTGGAGACAGTATAACAACTGTGAATAATTGGCTGGAAGTGTAACAAAAACAGTGGAGCTTCTGTTTGA